CCTAAACCCCAAACACTAAACCCAAACCCTGAACCCCAAACCCAAAAAAGGCACCCCAAAGACCCCGAACTCCTCGACGAGGAGGCCGTCCGGGCCATGCATTCAGGGCGAGGTTTGGCGGCCTCGCTGAAGGCGCCGGGGGTGTTAACATAAGGGTTTCGGGTTTAGGGGTTTGGGGTTTGGGGTTTGGGGTTTAGGGTTTGGGGTTTAGGGTTTAGGGTTTAGGGTTTAGGGTGTGGAGTTGGGGGTTTAGGGTTTGGGGCTTAGGGCTTAGGGTGTGGGGTTTACAGTAGGTTTTGGGGTTTGGGGTTTAGGGTTGACATTGTTGCGCGGTGAGGTACCCCGAAACCCCAAACCTTTAAGCCCTATAACATTGACCTTAAACCCTACACTCTCAAGAGGTGGGAGCGCTGGCCACGAAAGAAATCGTACAGCCCCCAAAACGAAGCCCTCAAGAGACGCAATCTCCAAAAGCCTAGGCCCCCAATCCCCTAAATCTGAACGGTTTAGGGTTTATAATTAGGGTTTAGGGTTTAGGGTTTAGGGTTTAGGGTTTAGGGTTTAGGGTTTAGGGGTTTAGGGTTTAGGGTTTGGAGGGTAGCCCCAACGCCATGAAACTTAAAGACCTATAAAGGTCTTGCAAGAGCACCAACTGAATGATTGTAGGGGCCTAGATAACTACCCTAGCATTATAGTATAGTGGGGCCCAAAACCCTATTCTAATTGTTAAGGCCCCTATATTACAATCCTTAAAGAGCTTTTGAAAGAATTTCACAGAACAACACCCTTAAGAGACCTTCTAGAAGCCTTTTTTTATCTTCTATTGTCAGGAACCCTTGTAGAGTCTCATCTTTGTCTCAAAGGTCCCTTTAGATACGGTTAAAGAGCCCTTCAAGGATGTTAACCAACCCTTACTACAGGGACCCTTATAGATCCCGGAAAGAATGTTTTCAAAAGCCAGAGCCCTAAACCCCCCGACCCTGAACCCGAACCCTGAACCCCTAAACTCAACACCCTAAACCCCTATGACCCTAAACCTCTAAGCCTTAGGAAAGCGAAGATGACGAGCTGAGCTTCGTGGCGTCCTTGCCCGGTCTCAATGTGGCGCTCGCTGAGGCAGCAAGAGACCTCTGTGAGTTTGCGCTTTACAGGTTTGCGTTAAAGAGGATTTCTTGAAGGGTTTGGGCCCCGTAGGAGTTCGCGGGTTTGGGGTTTCAGAGCTTTAGAGGGTTCCTCCTTGGATTTGGGGGTTAGGCTTTGGGTGGAGGCTTTATAGGGGGGTCTAGGAGTTAGAGCTTTGAAGTGGTTCCTGTATGGAAGGATGCCAGAGATGTGCTCATGGATTTAGTGTTGAGGGTGTCTGGTGCTCACGAGTTCAGGGATTTCGGGCATTCGGGTTTGATGTCCAAGGTTTGATCCATTGGATTTTTGCCCGAATTTAGTGGGGGGGTAATTCGGTTCTGAGGAGTAGGGTTGCAGGACAAGGGGACTAAGTAAGTAGGGGCTAGACATAGACTTACAACTAGGATAATCTCTACAGACTTGTAACTCTACTTACAACCTACTCAATAACCCTAAACCCTAAACCCTAAACCCAATCCTACTCACTGAGTTCCTTGTTTTTTCTGCGTAGACCTCATTGGTTCGAGGCCTGTGGTTTTTGAAGCCTTTGGATGGGTTCTTTTAAGGGTACTACGGCTGATGGACAAAATCCTGCATGACCTTATATACCTAAACTTTGGGATTTATGGTACTATACTATATTTGGGCCATGCAGAACTTTGTCCATCAACCGTATGTCAGTGTTCCTGGGTTTGGGGGCTAAAGGCGTGGTTAACGTAGGTTCATAACTGTTTTTTTGTTTCGGAGTTCTAATTCTCAGTATGGTCGCCGAGGTTTACGGGCTCAGTGTATCACTGTGTTGTAAGTTTTTCGCAAATATGAGTGTGGCAACGGTTTGTCTCAAAGGAGGCACGGCAAGGGTTGATAAGAAGCAGAGCTCCCGTGGAAATATTGCTGGATATGGATGTGTTTAGGATATGTGTACCTTTGATGGAAACCGTTTTCTACGCAAAGACATTCATGAGTATGGTTCCAGAAGGGTCCATGTACCCAAATAGTATATACTTTGGCCCCAAAGTACCTATATAGGGACTACTTTAGGGCCAAAGTATATACTATTCGGGTACATGGACCCTTAGGGGTTTTGAATTCATAGTGACTCTCACTCCGCATCTTGGCCTGAACCCTCATCTAACGGAAAATCCTAAGCCTTGAACGATTGAAGGCTGCCTCAGCTCAGCAACAGCTGCGTAATAGTTATAATATAGACATATAACGCCCTTACCAGTAGCCCTCTTATAGACTGTCACTGTATGGGAGCAGTACCCAATTCAGAAACCCTAAACCCTTAACCCGAAACCTTAAACCCTAAACCCCCAAACCCTGACCCCACAACCCCAAACCCTAAACCCTAAACGCTAGAACCCGACACAGGCTGCAGGGGCAGCCTGGAAGCGTGGCGCCCGGGCGCTTGCTGAAGCCGCTGGTGCGCCGCCGAGTAGTTTTTCCTGTGGCGGTTTTAGAGTTTAGGGTTTGGGGTTTAGGGTTTAGGGCCCAAGGTGTGTTTTGCTTCCGTCTGTGTTTCTCCTTCTGACAACAGCTTGAAGATCTCGTTAATATAGGGGCCTTAATAATTCGACTAGGGTTTTGGGGCCCATTATACTATAAACATAATAAGGAACCCCCAAAATTTTATAGATAGCTTTTCAGGCCCTGTATTAGGCCCTCTTAGCACTTTGTGAAAGAGCGGTAGCGGCGTAGTTGAATGGAAAATTCGAGGGTTTAGGGTGGAGGTCGGATGTACACCCATGGAGGTCTCCTTTAAGGATTCTATAACGGTTTAGGGTCTAGGGTCTAGG